GCGGGTTTCGAACAACACGAGGGTGAGTAATTAATGAAAGAATTTTCATTTTTGGGTGAACTAACCCTTTCAGAACCTCACCAGAATGCGGGTACTTTTCACCTACTGTGTATTCGGACATACTAGGCCTGCTCTTTTGGCTTACTGTTTTTCATATGCTATCCACCTTTTTCTTCAACGCGGAAGTAAGCCTATGGGCGAGACTTCTGGTTCATTAACCGCTATAGGTAAATAACGAGAAGAATAACATCGTGCAGTAAACTGTAAAACTGTTTGCTCTACAAACCATTGTGTTCATAATTACGGTAAGATAATACATTAAAATAATATGGTAAGACACACCAATTTTCAATATCAAGCAGCAAAACGAACTGTTTTGTACAGTTAAAAATAGCTGGATGCGGATGAGACAGGAAGCTAGACCCATAGAATTTACAAATGGCCGCGCCCATTTTTACGGAAAGAAAAAAGTGGATATAGTAGAGAAGTGTTCGATTTCGTATACAACAATGGCGCTTATAGTCAGGTTAGATGCCATATTGAATTTAACATGGATTAAAAAAAAAACAAGGCTGTGATTGATAGACTTATAGACTTAATTATTCTTTACAGTGGTACGCACTGTATTAATGTCCTAGATCACATACTTTTCACAACTCACAACTTTCAAAACTGATTTATGGAGTTTTTGTCTACTGAAAGCTTTTTATTTTCCAGAAAGTTTCAGCTGAACAATCGGTATGTTGTTAAAAATGCAATCTATTAAACACACTGCACTTCTATCCCTCAAAGCTTGCTTTCATTACTGTCGAAAATTGAATATGGTGCTACCCTGACTAAGGTCTAAGTCATATTTTCTAGACTTAACTGAGTTCACAATAAGTGTCCCGTCTACTCACCAAACAGGTTTGAGAGGGCCTCCACTCCCCCATTGTAGACCGTGAAGTTACTAGACGGCTCCACGTACTCCCACAGCGACTGGACGTAGTTTACCGTCTGGTTGTAGCCGCAGGTAGCTAGTGCCCACCACGCTGACCAGATAAGCAGCGTACGTGAGGAGAAACACTGCAGGAAATCCCTCCACAACCGGAGCAGAACATCACCGCAGCCACCTGGGATATCATGAGGCCAACAAAATTGCACTCCATTTAGATGTTCTAGGAATTAGAATAACTTCCTGTACAAGAGTGTTTAATATTTTATTTACAGAGCTATAAAATATTACATAGCTATTTACAGATTTTGTTTTAAACTTGACCTCATAGTTTTTAATCAAAATGTCTCTATATTTCAGTAAAATGATTGACTTGAGTCATTTAGCCCGCTTAAACCCTGCTGCTTTCTCACAATCGACTGCAAGCTCACATTCAGATCTGCCTCCATCCAATCAACAACCAGAAAATATCTGTCACTACTTCCATTTCATTGTGACTTTAAACATGGAAGAAAATGTGCATTTTCGCTATTGATTCACTTTGGGATTTCCTGTGGGTTTAATGTTTTAAGTTCTTGGTTAGACTGTAAAAGCAGAATACCATACCATATTGATATAAAAAAGCAAAGAGAAAGAAAATATATTCCATTTTTGATATCAACGTTATAAGATGCATTAGGGTTTCCCAAACTGGGCTTAATGTAAGAACTGCAGTAGGTTTTTGAGTTGATAGAAAGCTAATAATTCATTAAATCATACAAATGTACAATAAAAATCATTTAAACACTTGAACACTAAAAATATAAATATTTATTTTGTTTACCTGCATGTCAATGTGACCAGTAAGTGACATTGAACTGTAAAGATGCAAATGTGTTGTTAAATTATTGAAATATTAGCTTTCTCAGAGACATTTTTAAGTTAATGTTAAAGGTGTTTGGCTGACAATCCTTTTGTTTCATTCATGGTCTAATTGCTTGAGAGGTGCTTTCCCCACCAAATTCAGAAGCATGGATAGCAATTTTTTTGATATGGCCTTTATATATCGTGAATATATTCAAAGAAGAATTAGGGAGAATCAATAAATGATTAATGATTTACTGCCATTGTGTGAATAATATGTAATCATGTAACTCTTAAAAAAGTAATTGTAATCTGATTATGAGCATTATATGATGTAATATACTCTAATTACGAGTACTTGATTTTTGGAATCTGATTACGTAATCCAGATTACATGCAATCAGTTACTCTGATCAGTAACTATATCACAACAACTGATTAATGCAAAAAACTGCATGTAGCCGATATTTACTGAGCATATTTACTAAAGAAAAAGGAAAAATAGATAAATAAAAATATTAACATCTGAATAATAATATACAATAAATAAAATAATTATAGTAATTTTAGATTAAATATAGCATGTCACACTGCTGTAAATTTTAATATATTACTTCTAATTTACTAAAGAATGAGAAAAATATATACATATTGTATAAACAATAATATTGAAATAATAATATTATAAAATAACTAATATGCTATATACAATATATAAAATTTAAATTAATTATAATAAATTTAAATTAATTCTAGCATGTCACATTGATGATACTATTTAAAGTGTCATGTCAACTTGCCAAATATAAGTAGATGTTTAAATATTATCTGTCTTCTGCATATTTTATAACAGTATAATATTTTTTATTGCACAAATCTAACTCATAATATTACAACAACTGACAGCCATAAAAGGTTATGCTTTCTCTGTAATAAATCTGTATTTTTTTTGTTTTGTTAGTTTTGTTACTGTTTTTGTGCACAAGTCAGTGGGTTCAAACCACCAATGGACCCCATTTACTTTTATTGTATGGACAAGAAAAAAAAACACTGAGACATCTTTTTAAAAAATATCTTTGTATTAAAATTCTACAGGTTTGGAACAACATTAGTGTGAGTAAATGATGACAGAATTGTAATTTTTGGTGCACTGTCCCTTTAAGAGCTGCTCAGATCAAATGACATTGATTTCTGAGTCATGATGAGTTAGATTCTGAAATCCAAAAACATTAGGTTAATAATTAAACTTTTTAAAAGGTTACTATACTTGCTCAGTGGTTAGGTTCTTGTCTGGTCCAGTTAGGAATGGGATGAGAAATGGTTCTAAAGGCTTCACTGTGCTGAAGAACCCATAGATGCATAACAGAGAAGTTCCCTCATCCAACGATTGAGAGTCTCCATCTTCATAGATTCTGTGTGTATGTACTTAGGTTGGATGATACAGTAAATTTATCAGACTGAACACTACAATAATATAATCTGTACGTTATTGTCAAAAGAGCACTATCTTTGTATGCACTATTTACCTTTGCAGGTGTGTGAGATCTGTTTTCATGGAAGTACTGTTCCTGTCTTGAGATAATCACCACTTACTCTGAGGGCGAGAGTCTCTCTCTCTCTCTCTGTGTGTGTGTGTGTGTGTGTGTGTGTGTGTGTGTGTGTGTGTGTGTGTGTCTGGATATGCTGTAAATGAGCAATCAGTGAGCAAAATTCTGCTTAGATTATTCTGATTACTCCTCCATTCTGACCAATACTGTCTGTCATTCACCAGATAATCAAACCTTAATTATTTATTTAATACTATTTATTTCTTTAATTAATATGTGTTTAAGATTCACTGCTTTGACAAACTTTTATTTCACTCATGTCTACATTATTTATTAGTATAACTTTGGCCATTTTTCTTCTGATTTTCTTCTGATTTTGGAGTGGGGGAGAACACTTATTTTATTTTATTATTTTATTTTTTCGTATTTTGTTACTCAGCCTGCTGCCACAGTGACCCGGGCCCGGATAAGCGGTGGAAAATGGATGCATGGATGGTTATTTTATTTATTTATTTGCACTAATTCTTTTGGACTTTTATTTTGAATTCTTACACGCTGCTGATTCCGTCGAACTTTTATTTTGAATTCATACGTATTTCTGATGCTTCCTGTTTCCAACTGGTTTCTCGTGACAAGTCCTACGACACTCGGTTTGGGGATAAAAGACCAGCAGGTTAGAAAAAATACACACGCTAGATTTTAATTGCTTTAATTAGTATCAAACAATATTATAATTGAACTAAAAGAAGTGTAGTATGTTGATGATGTTACAACAAAACGCAAATAAGTCTTGTATTAACTAATAAATAGCTTTTATGGACATTTACCATGATAATGCTACCATATTCCTTACGTGCATTAGAATCTCGTGTACACTGAAAATAGTATAGTTAGTATAATTGTATACATTAAAATACGATGGTATTACTATGTTTGTATTAGGGCTGCACGATTAATCGCATGCGATATTTAACGCGTGATTACAGAACCGGCTTTCTGACAAGATGCGCGTTAAATATCGCATGCGATTAATCGTGCAGCCCTAGTTTGTATGTACATGTGACACGATCATTATAGCATGGTAAAGTACTTTTTGTAAGATTTGTTAAGTAATCAACTGATTTAAATGTATTTTCCAGGTGTGCAATCATGGCAAGCAGCAAATTCCAGATCGTGGTGAAGGGAGAAGCATCTGAAACTGACTCGGATGATGAAGTGTATATCACCTCTGCTCCTCCTGTCCATGCATCATCATCATCATCATCATCGGGGATGAAGGTGGCAGGAGAGGCGTCCGAAACCGACAGCGAGGATGAGGAAGAGAGAGCTCGCAGACTAGCCTCTGAAAGCCATCCACAGATGCTCCGCAAAGATCACAAGTCCTCTCATCCTGATCAGACACACCTGCTGCTGCGTCTGGACAGGAGGACAGATCGTCGCCTGTGTCCAGACCTGACTCGTGTAGGTTTAACACGTTACTCCAGCAGAAACTGCAGGAGAGCAATGCGCGGTTGTGCGCGGATGTCAATCAAAGCCTGAAACGGGTGTATCAGAGCGCTGCAAGGGATGTAAGACAGGCCACCGCTCACCTCAACGACTCTCAGACAGGCATCATCAACGCATCCCACAGCATTAGACTCATACTAGAGGACCTGAAGTCAGTGTCTGAGAAGATCGACATCATTACCAGCTGTCATCTGCTGCCGGACATCACCATGCCAAACCCGCTGTCTGAACAATGCTAATCAAATGCTTAAGAGCCCGATGAGACGGCTGCATGTATATAACATGACAAATGTTGTGAAACATTATTGCTAAATATGGGCCTGTTGAAGGTCCAACATTAGCCACAGCCTGGATGCATTTTTATGAATTTCTTGTGTGCTACATATCAATAGTATTTGACCAACATGGTCATCATTATCAGTTATTATCAATTAATAGCATGAAAATATGTTTGGAGTTATTTGTTGAATGAGGTAATAGACAATCAATTATGCAAGTTAAAAAAAATTGTAAACTTGTCCAATTTGTAAACCAAATTTCTTAATTTGTTTTCTCTTTAACATATTTGTTTAAATTTAATTCAATGTATAAAAGAAAATGTACATTTTAGGGGATGAAACTAGTCACCATTTCTTTTCATTTTCTTTCATTTTTTTCCCAGTTCATTTACATAGTCCTGTGGTTAATAAATGTAATAAATACTATTTTAATAATATTATTATTATTGAAATAATAAAATAGATAATACAGGTCCTAAAACTGAATATAGCAATACATTATGTACCTGTATTATCTATTTTATATATATATATATATATATATATATATATATATATATATTGGTTGAAATAGATATCAATATATTAAGGAAAGTGTCTTTTTTTAGGGAATGTTACTAGTTACCACATCTTGCAATTTTTCTTTTAATTTATCTTTTGCAGTTCACTTACATAGTCCTGTTGTATGATTTTAATATTAGTTTTAGTATTATTATTGAAATTATATATATATATAGGTCACTGCTGTTACTGCTTGTCAATTTGCCAAATATGAATTTCGGTTGTATCCACCTTCTGCATACATGCATTTTGTCAAAAAACATAAAAACAAAACCATAATTCATGAACTGAGTTTGTTTAGAAACTTTATTGAAACATACAGGTCTGTGATGGGCATTTTGGAAATGTATAAATTTATAATGAGTGGAGAACATGAAAGCTTCATAGCACCACCTTGATCAGATTAAACACAAGTAGGAAATGCAACATATGCCTATTAATCAAAGAACATTTGCCATTGAATCTGCTGCGTACACTTTGAAACACTTGCAACTAAGTTTGAAAGGCACTTTGAAGACAGATTTATCTACTCCACTGATACATATGGAACAATCTCTGGTGTACATTTGACTAAATTAAATCATAACCTGTGCTTCTAAACATGAATAAGGCACTGTCCATGAGGCTGGACCAGGCAATACTTTGTCTCGTTCTATAAAGCTTATCTTTTCACCATACATTTAATTTCAGACACAATCTATTTTTAAAGGACACTGATGCGGCACCTTGATTAGAGTTGTGCAAATATGAAGCAATGATTCTTAAAGCGATATAAATAAACCTTTGAGAACTGGTATGATGGACAGTAATGATCACATCAATAGTATTAAAAGTAGTTGGTTTCCAGATGCTCCCTACAGGCAATCATGCATATATCACTCATGCTTATCAACTCTCTCATGTTCCTGTTCATGGGTTTCTTTCACAGAAGTGCACCAATTAAAAAAAAATAAAAATACACAACAAATGTGCAAATACTTTGTCCTACACAGGCAGACATTCAGCTACATGTTAAAGCTCACATGCGCTCACACGCGCACACACTCGCACAGAAATAAAGTCAGGAGATGCAATTAGTAGGGCTATTGCAGGTGGCAGCAACATGTATATTAAAAATGAATGTTGCTATCTAAAGCATAACACTGAGGATCAAAGGAAATAGTAAAGGACTGATAGTACAGTAATAATGCTACAAAAGCTTTAGTTTCCAGGTAAACAACTAAACCAAACCAAGTTGATCTGAAAAGCATAGAAACATATTGCAAAAAATCTAAACAATACATTCAATGTGAAATGAAAGAAAAAAGGCACAGGGATTAAAAAAGAAAGAAAGAAAAGACTTTTTTCCTCTCCATACAGGAGTCTCACATTCTGTTATTGTCATTTATGACGATAATACAAAAGGAAAACAGTATTCTGTTTAAAAGTAGTACGAGAAAATAGTACGAGAAAAAAAAAGACAACTTCCTGTTTCAAAATGTGAACTCAGTCCTCCAGTATTTCAGCTTACAGTATAAGTGAGATTTCAGTGAGAAAATATTGCACGTTACAGTGATTTGTCAAGTCATGATGTCATAAATGACATCGTCTGATTGATCAGGTCAAGTCCAAGGATTTGATTCTGTTTTAATGTTGGGATTTGTCTGACCATTAAGGATTATATTTTAATCCAGTAAAAGTCATGACTGCCCACCCACAATTCTTGATGACTATTTATTTGAACATGCCATTAGATCCCATTTTGATGTTTGGGATTATACCCAGAATGCTTTGTATTCAGTGTCCTTCATTTAGTTACCAATCTGAACAGTCTAAGAAAATGTGTACACAATTTTGGACACAATTGTAAGAATTCAAAACTATATGCAAAAGTAATTGCTAATGACATGTACCATGATGGAAAAAACAACAACTTTTGGTTAAATTTAGGTGTAATGATGTCCATATATTGAGGGTGAGGTTTGATTAGTAGGGTCACCTAAAAGATGAAGTCTAATCGGTCCGGTCATATAATTGGTGGAGTCTGGTTGGTCAGGTCATATAATGAGTGATGGCTCTCAAAGCATAGAGCAGCTCGGCCTGCATTCGAGCCTCCATTAGAAGCAAATTCACATGAACCTGGATCAAGGAAAGCGAGAATATCAGTATATTGTTTGGGTTTTCAATGGCTCTTTACCGAATAAAAAATACAATTAATAATAAATTATAAATCTTAAATAAATGTTAAAATTTGCCATGATAATATGACTCACCTTCTCAGAGTGTCTGAACTGGTGCCAGTAGCTCTCGTACATGCGGCGAGTGGTTCTCTCCGGATAACACGTCACTGTTTTAATGTAAACCTTCAGACTGCGCTCCAACAACTGATTCACCTCACCGTAGTCATAGTCGTCGTATCTGCAGACACAGTAAGAATGTTCATCTTACAATATTAGGCAGGGCTGGACTTCAGTACTCCTGGTTGTCCTGTGCTAGTACACTAGAGGGCGCTATGGGCGTACATACTGTACACTGTATTACAGTCGCTCGCATACTTTTATTTTTCTGCGGTGTACAGCATGGAACACCCAGATGACATTTAACAAAATGTGTAGTATACAACAGTGCACAAAATTGTTGTTATTGTTAACTAAAAGTATTAAAAAATTGTTTCCGTTCATTGAAACACGGAAAATAAAATTCTACAATATAAATAAAATTAAATATAAAAATATCAAATGAAATGTTAAATGAAAAACATAGAATTAGAAATTGATCAGAGTAAGTTTAATCTGAAGAATTAAAATTATTCAAACTAAAACTGAAATAAAATAAACTAAAACTAAATAGAAATATAAACCCCAAAATTACTTACACTAAAATTAAAATGATGAAAATACAAGATAACTGATGTATGTAAATGATAGAATATAAACTCTATCCCAGTGAAATAACACTGTCTCCCAGAATGCAATGTGCTTGATTTGACCTTTCATTTCCTGTGTGACGACTGATCTAGAAGTATTATCCACAATGATTTTTAACACAGTTTTTTTTTAAATATTATAGACAATATATTCCATTCCAAACAATTTTTTGTTTTTATTTGGTTCCTGATGTGAGACTGCTAATTCTTTTTCATTAGCAGATTTAAACAGTTTGTGTTCACAGACGTACCGTATTCCGTACATACAGTGAACGTAGTTGAAGAGAGCCCTGCGCAGCATGCTGGTGTCCACCCCCTCGTGACTGGCCATGTTGTAATAGGTAAGATCACATGCCGTTCTGAATTTATCATCCAAAAGGTGACCAATGTCAGAGTACAACCTGTTCACCAGAGAGAAACCATGATCCTCCCATGAGTAGTCCTACAGAGTGAACAAGACAGAATGATCAATCATTCACTCTCACTGGGGTATAAAAACAATAATGCTGTATATGTGGAAATTTGAGGGTGTTTGTCATACTTGTGCTTTAAAAGTGGGTGGGTTGTCTTCTCCGTGTCGCGCAAAGTCTTGGTACCCAAACGACGGGTCGTCTACAAACCGAGCCACGGGAGAAGGAGGCACCACTTCCTCATCAAACCCTGCATATGAAAACCACAATATTTTAATACAAGTACTTCAGACTAAAGACAGCTAGATCCTTTCTTGTTTTCAAGGAATGGTTCAAATACGGCACGTCGACTGGTCATGCTTAGTTTGATGTCCTTTATGACAAAAGGCAAATACAGTCATACAGGTTTAGAACAGCATGTGGCTGAGTACACAATGGTAGAATTTTCATTTTGGTAATTTATCCCTTTAATTCACGATTTACCACAAGACCAAAAGCGAAGGAAATTAGGGGGGGGGAACGGACAAAATGGAGGAAATAGAGAGAAGAAAAAACAAAAAGAAAGGGAAACAGTCTAGTACTGTTTTAGTGTAAGTATATGTAGAAGTTTCAGCTTTTATTAGCATGTAATATTTTCATTATGAAAGAAAAGATGTACTATGAACTAGGCCTGGCGATAAAACGGTATCGATATTTATCGACGGTACACCCTCTTCGATAACGATAGAAAAATTGTTCGATATAGCGCATGATATAGGAGTGACGCAGACCGCACACACAAACACGAACACATGCTGAATTGAGTGCTGTGCCTGGCTGTGATGAGGCGATTGTGAATAAAAAAAATTAATATTAGTCGAAAACACGTCACGAATTTGTGGAGGTTTATTCCTTTTCACTGCATCTCATATGTTTTTAAATGCAATCTGCGTGATGGGCGATTCGGCTCTTTGTATTAAGCAATGCATAAATACATTATGCTGTTTTGTTCATAATTGTTTATGCAATTTACGAAATTATGTTTGATTTATACGAGTTAATTTAGACGTAATGCACGTTTTTTTGTAGACAGTTATTTCCTTTGCGTTGGCAATTTAATGCGCTGCATTATTTTGCTCATTGCGCCCTCCTGTGGCCTCGGGAGACAAGCCAAAAGTTTCCTTCAGACCTATTTAATCTGCATATAAAACATTAGAAATTAGATATTTGTTTAATTTTTATTTTGTGTTTGACTGTTAAAACAAAAAAATATTTGTTGTTTGTCTCAATAAATTGGGTTAATTTAAAAATACAGTGGTTAAATTTAAACGTTTTTTTCTATTGCTCTTTTTTTTTTTAAAGGTTATAAAAAATGTCAATAATTATCGATACCGAACGATATGAAACATTATATCGTTGATAAATTTTTTAGCTATATCGCCCAGCCCTACTATGAACTGAAAAAGAGCTGTCGGGTAGGAAGTATCTGTGTTGTAATACCTGCAGACACCACTAGAAGACTCTCTTTCTTTTCTTTCTCAAAACGAGTGAACATCTCCTCCTCTGACGCATCATCGTCTTCTCTCTCCTCCAACAATCGCTTCATTCTCTCCATCAGAGCTTCCAGCTCACTCTGAAATACACAAAAATAGAGTTCAAAAATTATATGCTACTTGTATATAACAAAATTTGTCCAAACAAATCTTGAATCACGCATACATAATAATTGTACATAAAATAATTATAAAATAATGATATAATACATTATTTATACAATATATATGTATATATTCCACATAATTTTTTGAATTAACTAAATGAAGCCTGTATAAGAATTTCTTTTTTTTTTTTTGCATTGTAAAAATATTTTCATGGAAATGAAGCATACATTATGTTTTTTTTTACTTTAATACATTAAAATACTGTTTTACAGTAACAAGAATCTGTATGCAGAATATAATTACCTTTTTAACTTGGTAAAATACAATCTGAACATGTTTTCCTGATATAAAAATACAAAAACAACACAAGGACACGTAATGTTTTCCTACCCCAGTGTCAGGGTTACACAAGGGGTTCCCGTTGGCTTGGTTGCTGTTTGTTAGGTGGCAGGTGCATAAACCCGCCATGGCTGGAGGGCAAATGTCATCCGTGACCCCATTGACCTCTGTGACCTCAGGGTCTGAGTTGACACCGCTACCAAACACAAAACTAGCCAAGGCATGGAAATGAGCCAACAGTACGACAGCATGAACCAGCTCTGCCAGAGACCAGCTGTGTTCTCCTGTCTTCACCAGAGCCTGAGAAACAGAGAGTGTAAGATTATTGACATTTGATGTAATTATGATTTCAACAAATATAATGAACAATACAACATTGATCAAGACTCTGTATATCAAGATACTGTATGTGTTCACCTACATAGGGTCATGTAACGCCAGAAGACTACCATACTATGCTACTATTTCTACTATAAATGTGTAGTATGCACTTTTTCCAACATGCATTTCCGAAAACATAGTAGACTACATGGAATGTTGTATCCCACAATGCAAGTGCATTGACTTGATTTCCAAGGTGAGGAATGCACAGGACGTAACATCTTATTTGACTCAGTGTTTGATTTGACTAAGAATTAAGATGTTTTAACACAAAACTGGATTGAAAATGCTAAACTTTTATTTACAAGATATTCATTGCAGCCTCTGAATTAAACAAGCATGTAGTGACAACAAATGTTATGGACTATAGTTTGAAATGTTTTTTGTTGCATAATGCTTGCATAATGCTAAAACAATTCAGTGTATACTAGGGCTGCACGATACTGGAAAAAACTGACATTGCTGTATTATTTTTTCTGCAATTTATATAAAAATACAGAAATGTTTTCCAGATGACTTGAATAGCTATATGTGGAAAGAGTTAATCATTCTAGAATGAGTGGGGTGATCTTGCAGTGGAGTGCAAAATTAAAATAATAATTTTTAAAAAAGCTGAAAAATTATTTTTAGACCTAAGTGATTGGGAAAAACTTCTTTTTTTGGGGGGGGTGTTCACACATGGGTTTACCGTTTACAATAACCAACTCAAGTAAAAAAAAAATTGTTAAAAAAATCCAAAATTTGTGCTGTTTTTGACCAATTCTATAAATTGATTACAAATAATAATTGTGGTTTTATTGCAATATTGTAATTGTTGTAAAGTAAAAATAAAAAATCAAGTATTTAATAAAAAATCATTTTATTTTATAGTACAACTGTAAATTGACAATACTAATATTTACGTCTCGATTCATTTTTCTTAAACGTTAAACCATTAAGCTTTTATTTTGACAGGTTGCTAGCAATAGATGTATGCACTGCTGATTTTAGAGTGAAGCTCAGACTATGTTCTTCTGTATGCGGGCAGCTCGTGATCCGGTGTTTTCAGTGTCTCAAATTGGCTTGATTCACAGTAAATAAACCAAGCCATTCTGAAAAGCTGAAGCACTGTATCATGGGCTGCAAGCATGTGGATGAGCAGTGCCATTAAGGTAACGTTTTTATTTAAATCACAGTCTGCACAATTTTGACAATTGCACTAAGCCATAAACAATTTTATTTTCATATACCATGCAGCCCTAGTGTATATTGAACAATAAGCAAGAAAGCTAGTGTTTTACCTGTATGTGTTGCTTGGTAATGAGCCAAGGTCTGTGTGCAAGGATCTTGTTAATCTCACTGAGGTTGCGAAGTCGTTGTGGGCAGAACGCCAGACCTCTCAGCCAATCAGAACAAACACCTATCTGCTCGAACTCTTGCACATGCTGACAGACCAGCGTGGAACACTGATGCCGTGCTGCAGCCTGGAAAAGATGAAAAAAAAAATCACTCATAAAATGATTCCAGTTAAATAAGGTCTCTTTTGAAAGTGTTTTTTGTGAGTTTGTACCATTATAGCGATATAATGCCTGTAGTGGAGTGGTAGTGGGCCGTCCATCCTCAGGAGATAATAGTGGCAGCGGAGAAATGCTTGCAGATAATGCGGGTGAAGCCCCATCACCTGCGTCAGGTTGTCCATACGACCACTGAACTCTTCGTCTAAGAACATCACTGTGGAGTCACTCAGAGGCATGGCTCCTATGATCTGGGATGAGGATCAGACATCAGACTGTATGTATTTTCCTGACATAAAAGTACTCTGGTCAGCTGATAATACAAATTAAATATGTGGTCTGTCAGATTTTGTCATGTGAGACGGCACTAACATGTAATGCAGTGAATCAGAGCCAAGAACTCTTGAACTCTAGTTCAGGTTCATCTTAATTCAGCAAAGTGAGGGCAGATGCTATAATTCAATTTACAATCTAAATACACTTTCTTAGATCTCCTGGAACGCTTAACTCGGATTCAATGAAAATAATCTCTGAACCAATTGAACTCAAAACAAAAATGAAATGAACACCAGCTGACCCAAGAAAGAACAATTACAGTATCTGAGTTGGGTGCACTTGCATTGAATGAATGTGTGATAAAAGAAAAGAAAGAATTTTCCATTACAAAAAAAGTGTGGAACTTTGACATATATTATGGTATTGAAAGAATTCTATAGTAATACACCATGGTATTTACATGGCACTGCTAGACACTGAAGACTGGAGTATGCTGAAAATTCAGCTTTGTATGACAAGATTAAATTACACTTTAAAATATATTCAAATAGAAACCATTTTTTAATAGTAATAATATTTCATAGTATTATTGTTTTACTGTTTTTTGATCAAATAAATTCAGCCTTGGCGAGCATAAGAGACTTCTTTCAAATATATTAAAAAATACCGACTTTTGAACGGTAGTACATTTCAAAGAATATCATAGTAATACCATGGTAAATGTAGAAATTAAGTATTACCTCATTTTCTGGAATAAATGAGCTTGGTCCTGTTGATATGCTTCTTGACATCTTCATTCCTTTTTCCTGAGGAAAACATAATGATGATGAATATGAAGAACATATCCTGACAAAACGATCAAATAAAAAATGTGTTTACTGAAGTGTGTGTTTTTTTATGTTAAAATACTTTCTTCAGTCTCAGGTTAATAGCAGAGACAAATACAAGTAAGCCATCTGTAGCTTAATTCCGCACAGCAACAGTGGCTCAACCAATGGTTTGAGTTTGGGGGCGGAGCTACTTGTTTATTCAACTAATGGCAGGCAGGTGAAACCTGTTTGAAAGCAGTCATTCTTTCAGAGACACTAATGCCTCAGAAATTGTTTAACAAACATCAAGAGAAGGAAATTCAGGAGATATTCCAACAAAAGTATCATAGTGTGTTTAATGTATATATTTTAAAGAGCACAACATTGATTTTCAGGTCGATTTTGCGTCTCCCTGGTTTATTTTGAAAAGTCCCTCCCAGTCTTTGTTGTTCCTGTTACAGCGAAAGGTAAGAGTTCCATGAAAACTGTGTTTGTGTTTTATGTGTGTGGTGTTTGTGTATGTGTGTGTGTGTGTGTGTGTGTGTGTGTGTGTGTG